AAACAAATGAACCATGCAATGTATGCAATATGCAGATGCGAATGCGGTTATGCGTCGAAACATCGAGCCAAATACGAGACCCGGTTGGTCAAATTTTAGGGTGCAACAGCTGCCCCTATTCAAGCGGCTTCGACCTGAATGGGTGAAGAGCGCTCAGCCTTCAAACATTCAAGGTAGATGACGGTTGAATACAAATGGAACCCTGAAATTTGCCAACCGCAAGAATATACTGCAAAGCTGCTTGAGGAATAGCTTCCAATAAACTGAAGTTTGGTTGTCACGACAACATCTGGTCAATTTTCTGATACAATTTTCTTCTCCTTTTCAACACCTGTGTAACGCCACAAGTATTGAAATAATGCTTCGGAAAAGCAAACGACTTGATTCCCATCTCTCTCGTGGGATCAAATCTGGTCAACTCACAGTTCACTGCGAACTTGACGAAGGCGGCAGCTTCAGAAAAGCTTGATATATGTCAATCTCCGTTGTTGTTGTTTTTTCGATGCTGACGTAACAACCCAAATGAAGAATCACTCCGCTGAGGAAGTCGAGAAGCTGAACCAAACAACTTTGCAGGTGAACAAGTTCGAAATCCAATAGGTAACCATTCTGGTCCATGTTTCGACATGTGTATGCTTGATAATGATGCAATGCCCTATATGACATGTAAATGCTATGCGTTCTGTTTGAAAATGCTATGCGTTCTGTTTGAAAATGCGATGCCCAGACGACATGGATATACTATATGCTTGTATAAATGCAATGGCTATATATGCAAATGCTAATGCAGGCTCGAGCTGCCAGAGAACACCAGGTCTGAAAACCACTTGGCAAAATAAATGCCGAAGATAACGTCAACTCTACTGGGGATGACCTGAAGTCACAGAACCATCTCAGCAAAATAAATGCTGGAAACGGGAAATCAAATCCGCTGGGGATAACCGTTCTGCTGGAGAAATGAAAAGGCAACCCTGCTTGGCGACTTCACTGGGGAAAGAAAGCAACTCTGCTCGGGGGTGCTTTCTTCAAACCATTGGCAACTGATTGTACTCTGCGGGGACTGACCCAAACTGAGGTTGATTGCGCGAGGCACACTGCTGGAAATGCTCCTACTATCAAGGATATCAATCTTAATCTGCTGAAGATACTCCTGATCCTACTCTGACACGGGGTAAAATACGATCTCGACTCTTCCGGGGATAATAAGCAACTTTCGTCTGCTGAAGAGTAGCAATTCTGATTTAACAACATCCACAAGGATTTCAACCATTAATCGGAGCGCTGGCATCCGTCGGGCTTCGTATCGGGAAACATGACAACATGCGGGTCATTGGAAAATACTGCGTCAGATACCTTCAGGTTTTTTGTTTTTCTGGTTTAGAATAAACATGGATTATGTACACAGTGGAAAATATAGGAAATACTAGACGAGAACTAGCATTCAAAGGTAGACTACCAGACGAGAACTGATAGGAAAATGGGTTAGAAAATTGATTTTGTTTTTATATTTTGAACATCAGACGGGCTGACTGGATGACAGACTAAGGTATAGACAACCAGGCGAGAACTGGCTGAAAGCTATCGTACACCAGGCGAGAACTGGTATAACACATAGGGTAAAACACACGATGACCAGGCGAGAACTGGTTACGCAACGACATGTACCAGACGAGAACTGATACAACACTCGAAGAAACGGTGACCAGACGAGAACTGGTCACCAATAAACTGCACCAGACGAGAACTGCTGCTTACAATAAACTGCACCAGGACGGGAACTGATACTTACAATAAACTGCACCAGGACGGGAACTGATGCTTACGGAAGGTGGGCCAGACGAGAACTGGTTACCGATTTTCCAGGCGAGAACTGGACTTTGGAAACGACTGGTTGCTGACACGCAACAGGTTTAAACTGCAGGATAATGATCCAATGACACCAAGACCTTCTTGTTTGAAAGGTTCAGGTTTTTGACAAGGGTATTGACATGATTCCCCGGTACTCCACTCTGGCTGGGGATAAACAGGCTGGTTTTGAACAACTTGCCCCAGTACACTCAGCTGGGGATAGAAAGACTGGCGTGCACAACTTGCCCCAGTATAATTCAACTTGCCCCAATCTATCTCTTGGGAATACTTGCTCTGAACAGCTTGCTACGAGACGACTTCGAGAATATTTGCCCCGGCAAAAGAATTCAATCTCCAATTAAACACCTAACAACTCAGTTGATTTCAACATTCTCTGCGATGACTTGCCCCTGAATGAGCGTTCTAGCGACTTAACCCGATCTGATTATCCATTGGAAGGTTCTGCTTTCAAATCTCCATGCTCTGCATAGCTGCCCCTGATTGGCTCTCGAGAAGGCCCACTTCTGATCGACTGCTTCTCAAACGAAACTTCCCCTGCCCAACTGAAGCTTCGGGACTCGCTTTCAGACTAGCTGATTCCGAACTTACTGGAAGTCAATGCCCCTGATTCATTGGGCTTCACAATATTCACCATTCTGGTTCAGATTGCTGAATTACTCAGTCCTGCTCGATTATTTGTTGGAATTTCTTTCCTGCCAACTACTAACCTGCAATTAAAATTGTCTATTCACGAATGGTAATCTTAATGCAGTGGTTATGCAGATTTTTGAAAAAAATTTGAGTTGTCACTCATTTACATGCATGATTATTGTGAGTGACGAGTGAACCGAAGTTCAAACGTAGTGCTTACGTGATCGGTGAAAATACAACAAGGATGTGACTAGCAAGTCAAGAAGGAGTCAGGTTACTCAACCCTATCGTAATGCGCTTTGGACTAACCCTACCTCAATTAGGTCTTTTAAGGGTTGTATCGTGGTCGGGTTCGTGGTTCGTGAAACAAAGGATGTTCGGCTCAAATTTTGATTTGTACCCACCCCGTCTACGTGATGATCTCCGATCCTAAGGTTCAGTTAACCTGGCACAAGCGCTCGCCTCTTCGAGAGGAATGTGGAATGGTAAGACCCACAGTTAAGGAATTCACAATGCTTTTCTGGAGTGACAGTTACTCCTTCTTCGCTTTCGGTGTCAATGAACTATCAAAATTTTTATTCACAGATTTGAATCCAATTTTGTTCAGGGGTGATTTTGGAATTAATAAATTATATGGAGGTGGTAGGTTTAATTTGGGGAGAGGGAGGTGACAGACAAGTTAAATTCTCAACAATCAGGCTTGTCATTGTCTTAGCTTTCAACATGAGTTAGTCACTATTTCATTTAAATGTCAAATACATCTATTATTCAATAAATATGAAAAATAGATTTTTGTATATAATAAGAAACAAAGGGAATACGATATAGATATTGTTGAGAATTCTCCATCGAATATTATGTGATCTAATCATCTATGTTTATAAGTGGAGATAACGCTCTCACCACCACTACCACTTAAAAGCGATAAATTTTAGAGTGAGAATATGATGGGCACGCAAAATGCTCTCACCACCACTACCACTTAAAAGCGATAAATTACAGACAACAAATTTTCCAAATTCTACTAGCGACTTTGTTATCTGAACCTATAACAATGAATTAGTATAATATACATTGTTATTATCATAAAAAATAGAATAAAATATTGAACTTTAAGAAGAAAAAAATAAAACACCATATGTGATATTCACAATCAATATAGAGAAAACAAATTAAAAATTTCATGTTATTTTAATAAATTAGTTGATGTAAATTAGATATTTTTTAAAAATATTTTTGTACATCCGTTTCTATTGTATTCTCTCAGTCCAAACCAAAACAACCCATTGTTTGTCGGTTTGGTTTGGTTTAGGTTTTGTCACAAAAATTTGTAAATTCAACCCAAATCAGTTTATATATTTTTTATCAGTTTGGACATCAGATATTCCCATATTCCCAAAATCGAACCAATCTAGCTTGGGAACCCCTATAATTGGTGAGTTATTGCAATATTTGTGGTAGCTCTGTTAGTGTCACATTCTACATAGAAAGAAGACCTCAAGTTATTTAGATAATAAGACTGTTATCTTCATTTGATTCTTGGTAGTACACTTCATGAGTTACTTTGGCATTACTAAATGTCCATCAACGCTCTACCCACGGGGAGGGTACTAGTGATTAAGACTTGGTAGGGACATAGATAGAGGTGGAATACCAACCATTGTGTAAGGATATTCTCTAGACTTTGAATTTTCTACCTATAGATAAGGGACACATTCATTGCTGTATAATAATAATAATGTTTCCCTACATCCATATCATTCTAGTGTGGCCTAAAGTGAACATTGATAATTTTCATACAACATTTCTCATGCTACTACTTATATGCTCTGCAGTCAGAATTTTGTATTCATGGTCAATACATCGGCGACCATTGAATGTGAAGTGACGCACTTTCTTCTTTAAATTAGAAGAATGGTTGGCAACTGAATGTGTATTGCAAAGTGTGACATATGGTCAGTTGTCAGATTGATTTGGACGATTGGGAGAGTGCTCGTGTGAGAGATTGCTTGTTCGGCAGGAGAAAAGAGTCTATCTGTTCTGCGCCAAATACTGCCTCACGTAGTTATTGGGCCTTTGCCTCTTTAGGCCTTGTGAGTGGCCCAGAACATTTTGACTGCGTGAATGCGAGAAAGATAGACCCTATCTCTTAGCATGCATGAAAGATGGACCCTAAAAACATAATGTCTTACAACTTGTCAGTTTATTATTTGTTCCAAGTAAAAAAGAGAAAAACATGGAACAGATAATGTGCTGAAAATCATTCACAATCATTTACATTCACTTTCTAGTAAAACAAAACTTCAGAAAGGTAAAGAAAAGAACCACTCCTTGTAATTCAAGCAAGGTACTGAACTCTAAAGCAATTTTTTTCTAACAATAATCATTGTCAGACTCTCACTAAGTCACCACTATCACTTGCAGATCTAACTTCATTTGAACAAAAACTTGAAATAAAGAAAACAAAACAGAAAAATATATGAAAAAAAAAAAATGAAAAATCATTCTCCAAATGGAAGAATCACATTTTTGGATCCCTTTCCATAGTAACAAAATGGAAAGAATGCTCTTTTACTTCTGCTATTACAATCCTCACTTGCACTAGCTTCATTTTGTTGTATAATGGCTTGAACATCCATGAACATTTGTCTATCATTTGCAGAATCCAATGAGAAAGATCTTCGAATCGGCTGAATCGAAAACAAGTCATCTTTGTTTCTGATGATATCAATGCACTCATCTCCCATGATGGAAACATAAGGGCACTTTGGTTTCATTTCTCTTGTAGAGTGATACTTTCTACTATGTTCTATGCTTCCTCTTGAGTCATTTTTTTCTTGTTGAACCTCGTTTTCTTCTCCGCCTAATTCGATGATGACGAAATCTTCATCACTTGCTAAGTTAGAGAGTAACTGAGAAGAATTCTGAGGAGAAGAGCTTGGAGCTATGATAATGTCAAATGGAGTATTTGTAGTATTGCCTGAAATGCTTGATCTACAAAGAGGACAGTTAGAATTTGTTTGAAGCCAAATATCAATGCAATCCAAGTGAAAAGCATGGTTACAATTTGGTAGAATTTTTATCACATCCTGTTCTTGAAACTCTGTCAAACAAACCACACAACCATACACACTTTGATCTTCACATTCTCCTTTTATAAACTGAAAAGATGGGATTTCTCTGATGATCGATTCGTCTAAACCCCGGTTCCATAATGTAGGAGATAATGCTATGAAGTGATCTTCATCGTTCTGTCGAGCTCGAAGAACCGAAATCCATCTTGTTGGATTCACTTGATTCCAGTTTGAGCAGAATTTGGTTAGAAAAGTGATGTAGCTGAGGAGTAACAAAATGGTAGCAATGATGCTGAGAACAACAATGGCAAATATGGGAAAAGCATAGTCTGAAACAGGCTGTGGAGGGTGATGATGAAGTGTATTATCCTGAGTTATGTTGATAGGTGGGATAGCTTGATATCCAAGGTTGTGGAATTGGTTCTTGTTTAGTGCCATGATGAAAGATGTGAATATGAGATATGTGATGGCCTTAAAAGGTTAGGTGCATGGAAAACTTTTGAAACTTTTGATGAGTCAGAGCTTTGTCATCTATTGTTATCCTATTCAATCAGATGAATTAGTCTATGCAGTTGCGAATAAAAGTTATTAACCAGATGAATTAGTCTCTGCAGTTGTGCACAGAAGTTATTGTAGTGATTATTTTGAGACTGACAAGTGCATGTGGTGATTACAAGGGAAAGGAAACACATGAAGAGAAGGATGGGGGCCTAGACTTGTCTTAATGAGGAAGGATACAAAAGGGTTTTGGATTAATGTAATTGTAGTCTTTTGACAACTTTTTAGTGTGTTGCTTACCTTGGTGTTTTCTCTTATTTGAATATTGTCTTTTCATCTCCAATTCTAACTAGTCAGTTCAACTCTGATATGTGTCTTTGATGGTCCTACCACCCTTTGATTATCTCCAAACATGTGGTCAGATGACATTGATTACATTAGCAGAAAATAAAATGAAAATATGATTTAAGAAAAAAGGGGTGCATAGTGGTCATTTCAATATCTGCCAAACTATTACATATTCTTGATTATGTCAATTTGTTAATTTACATGTAGATTTAAACTAAGTCATATATTCTTGATTGAGTTTAACTTCTCCAAACTCTTATTTTTTCTTTGTTCATGTATGGTTTTTTTCAACCCTTAGACATAGTCATTGCATGTTATTGTTTAAATCACCTCGGTGGTTATGGTTAATGGCTAAGTATTCTGCATGATGTTGATGAGATAATTTGGTCATATCTTCGCGTGTGTTACTTGGATGGAGTCAATTTTTGTTCTTTTGGAAACTAGACTCAATTGTTTTTAATTTAGGAATTGGTTTTAAAAATGTACATTGAACATTAATAAATAAGGAAAAGTTTAAGCTGACCATAATTCAGGTGTCCTGTTTCGTTTAGTGACCTTATATTTTGTTCTATGAAATTGTTATAATTGAGGTATTGTATAACAATATTTGTTCGTGACATATATTTTTTGGGTTTTGACAATAACAAAGTATTAAAAGAGAAATGGTGTTATCTAATGTATGTTTAAGTATGCAGATTCTTATACTTAAAGATATATTTAAAATCTAATATGAAGGCACACTGGAGAGAAGTTGGGTTACGTGCTTCTGATGATACAGAATCTGAAAAATAATTACTAAGTGATGTCTGGCGTAAACTCTGAAGCTAAAGGCCTCAGTATCAGAAGAAGCAACATATTGTCTCTACACCTGGTGATTGTATTAGCTTCTTGTGATTGTTCAGAAGTAGTAGCAAAGTTGAAGTCGTCTATACTGCAGAAAGAAAACTGTAATGTCAAACAAGCTAGTCAGCTAGAGTTCGAGTTCAAAAGACTCAAGAAGAGTTGACATGCTTTATGGATAAACACTCTCAACGACTCTATAGTACAAGATCTCTTTGAAGACGCGATGGTTAAACATGTTACACAATGGATCAAGATCCTTTGGTGTATCTATCTTCAACAACTCTTGTATTATGGAGAAAACAAAGACATTTGATTAATTTATCCCTTTCAATGGCTAGTCTTCTACAAAATGCTATATAAGTAGCTGAAGGTTTATTCTGAATCTTTAACAAGGAATAAGAAGAAGAAGAAATGTCAAAGAAGATAGAGGTGTTCAGAACCTCTATCTGAATGAATAAATAACAAGTTCAACAATGAGCAACACCACTGAATATGCATAATATCCTGTTATTTGTTGTAAATTGTAAACATCCTTAAGGTCTCCTAAACATTGAATATCCTGGAAATTGTAAGTGTTTAAGGTCTTTGTTAAGGTGATTACCCTGTACCTCTGATTATGTATCAAGTACACCTTGTTCTCTATTTTATTATACATGTTGTGCAGTAGTTTATATCAAAGTCTCTTGCTATGTGCTTAAGCATCAAAGTCTCCAGTTGAAAAGCTTGAGCAAAGTAAGTCTCTTACTATGTGCTCGAGCATTGAAAGTCACAATCTGTATTGATTAAGCAAATAAGCCTTGGACAATGCGTCTGAGCAGAAGTCTTGAACCAGGTGGATTTGAGTAGTGAAGTCTTGGACAAAGCTCTATGCAGAGAAGTCTTAGGCAGAATGTCTGAGTAAGGAAGTCTTGAACTAGGTGGGTTTAAGCAAGGGAAGTCTTAAAATCTGAGGATCTAAGCAAAGAAGTTTTGATCAGGTGCTGATTGAGCAGTGAGTCTTAGACTGTAGGTCTGAGTAGTAAAAGTCTTATGCGTAAGTGCATAAGCAGTTGTAATCATGACTTGATTATAGTGGAAAATATCTTGCGAGACAACAAGACTGAAGTACTCTCGGTTAGAGAGGAACCATGATAAATCTGATGCATTCATGGTTCTGTTTACTCTACTTCTGATATATTATTTCGCTGTATTTATGATTAGATTCTGAACTAGTGTTTAGAATCTGAACTACGTTCAAAAGCGGAAATGTTTTTAGTAAATACAATTCAACCCCCCTTCTTGTGTATTTCCCACCTTTAATTGGCATCAGAGCATAGTTTGTGCATAACACATTACAGTGGTGCAGACAAAGATCTTGTGGGAAAGTATATTATTCATCTTAGTATGGAAAGAAAGGTGGCAAAAAGATAAAGGAATCTATTGAAACCAACTAGTATCTCTCTCAATGGTGTTATCCTTGTGAAGAAGATAGTTCAATATGCTTGGTCCTGAACAAGTCAGAAATACATCATCAAAACAACTGAAGATCCAGAATCAGATATTTCATCCAGGTAAGTTCTGTTAATTACTTTTATTCAAGTGTAACTTTTCTAAACAAAATATTTCAACATGTATATTCTTCATGCTCAAATATCTTGGAAGAAATTTACTTAAGAACTTTTAGATTGGTGAATTGGGTAATCTCACTGTTTGTGATAATATCTATGTCATGTTGAAATAAAGAATTCTTTTAAACTCTTAAAAAAACTCTTTTGGAGAAAGCTCTCTTACTATTGCTCAGAAAAATCTGATATATTGTATGCTCTTCACTAAACTGATACAACTAGTAATTCTCCTAAGAATTATTTAGTTGAAAAAGAATTCTGAACATAGTAATTTATGCTTGTTTTCAAATGGAGAATCTGAATCTGATATGTGTCATAAATTGACTTAATCAAAGTCTTTGGCAGCAAAACTTTTGATCTAAGATAATCTATAAAAACATCTCTAGATCAAAAACTCGCATAAAGAATTCCTTGTTTCACACATGCATAAAGAGTAAAAATTTCTTGAGACACTTGTATCCCTTTTTACACCTGTCTGAAATGTCTTCAGCACACTTGAAATTATTGGTGACTTGAATTTGAAGGGATTGAATTTTTTATAAATGTTTATATGTTTAAATTCTCCTTTATGTCATTTAATTATCCCAACACATTTTCAACACACACAGTCTTTATCAACGTCTATTTTGTGCTCTAACTGTAAACCCTAGAAAACCCCTTAAACTCCATACATGGCACCCTCTTTAACCAACCCTTTGAAAATGAATTCCATAAAAACTCATAAGATCAAACCGAAAACTGTTCCACTCGACCAAGATGATTTAAAGCTCCTCATTGAGCAAGTGTTTAACAACGTTAAAGCAAATGGTTGTCCATTAAAAGATTACTTTAAATTCCAAGGATGAATTAAATTCTTTGATATGATGAGTAGACCGGCTTACCCAACTCTGGTAAAAGATTTCTAGGTAAGGGCAGAAGTGTATGATGAGTACTCAGCATAAAATGAAGAGATAAATGTTGTAGAAAAGGACAAAAGTCTAAAAGGGAAATCAAGAACAGAAATAAGTCTGAAGGAGTTAAAAGGTGTGTAAATTAGATCTGCTGTGATGGGTCTAGGAATTGCCATCACTCAAGAAAACATTGCTCAACTAATAAGGGCTAAGAATAGAGGAATGGTGATACTCAACAAGAAGGATGGAGGTGACTTCGCCACAGAAATTAAGAAGAATTTGTTTGAAAATAAAAATGACTATGGAAAGGTGAATAACATGCATCTCATGCAAAAGCTTTTGTTCAAGATTCTAATTGGCTGTCTAATTCCTCGGGAAGGAAGTTTTGATCAATTTTTTTGGAATGACAAGATTTTTCGTTGGTGTTTGTCAACTGATCAAAGATTAAATTTTCCAGGTTACATCTTCCATCATCTGTGTGAATCCATCAATGATTCAATTAAGAAGATCAAAATATCAGTACCTTATGCAAGGCTACATTTTGAACTCTTCTACCAATGTAAATTAATGAATACATTGATTGATTATGGAGCTACTCGAGACTTGGATGATGCCTATGGAAGTGTGTTATCTGCATCAGTTATAGTTCATATGAAAGAAAGAAGGAAAAAGATGTTGTTATGATTCCTAATCCTATCCGAATGAGGAAAGAGAAGATAAGAAAGTTTCTAGATCACATTCCAATGCCAACCAAGGAAGACTCTTCTGAAGTAATCAGAATTATTATTGAAAAGGCTAAAATGGAGTGTGGTGTGACTATAACCCATGATCAATTCCCTGACATGGCTCAAAATGAGTATGGCTCTAAGAGAAAAGGAAAGAAGATGGTAATCACTTAAGATGAATTTGATGAAGAATCTGATACTCTCGCGCCTGTTAGAAAGAAATTGTTAGGAGATGCTCAAAAGGCTATTCAGAAGGAGGAAGAAAGACTTGTTCACAAGTCTAGAAAGAAATGGGATTCTCATAGCTCCAAGGCGAGTCTACAACATGAATTCGAAGAGCTCAGAGAATCCACTGAGATTCTTCCCACTAAAACTAGAGGAGGATCTAGCAGTAATCTGGATAAAGAAATTTATGTTTCTAAGAAAATAAAATTGTCAAAACTAAGTCAAATAGAAGAAGTGAAGGATGCAAAAAGGGATAAGGTTTTGAAAGAAGTTGAAGATGTTTTCTCTTATGTTGTCCTGACAGG